TATATGCTGCCCTTCTCATCCCGAAGGGGACTCAGAGCGGCTTACAAGGTATAATATTACATACAATATATTATATTATTAACATAGTACAATATCAGCAAATGAAATACATTCATCTTTGCTGCATTCATTTTTGCCTTCCCCAACTCTAAAGAGGAAATGTAGGATGCCGTTTTTTGCTTGTCTCACATTTATGCTGATAAAACCATTGCCACAAAGTGTATACATCTATTGCATAGGCCACCTACATCCTCCCATTATTTTGTTTATTTTTACATGCTGGGATGTGCTTTGGTACAACAGGATTGCCTCCTCAAATGGATATTTGGCTTAGTGATAAATGTGTATGTTTAAATCCATGTATCCAAGATTATTCTATAATGACTGGAGAATTTAATTGTATTCATCTCTAATAAAATGTTGTCAATGCAAAATTTAGGGAAACTTTTTCTAAAAGACTACCACCATTCCAGAGGCCAAACTGGCCAGCTTATAATCCAAAAAGAAACATTTCAAAATGTTGTTCAAATTAGAAAACTGTCCAAATGTTTGTTAATTCTGCCTTCTAACAACAATAATGACAACACTTTATTCATAGGTTGTTGTAGGTTTTTTCGGGCTATATGGCCATGTTCTAGAGGCATTCTCTCCTGATGTTTTGCCTGCATCTATGGCAAGCATTCTCAGAGGTTGTGAGGTATGTTGGAACTAGGAAAATTGGGTTTATATATCTGTGGAATGACCAGGGTGGGACAGAGAATATATTTATATTCTGCCCTTCTCCCCAAGGGGACTCAGTGGATTACAGTTTATAAACACACCCAGGCAAACATTCAATGCCTTCTAATTCTGATGAGTTCTGCTTTCAGATGCCTCTGTGAGAAAGTGATCCATCACTTGGTATGGAATGAATTGCCTGGTCTGCTCTCATTGAAGTATGATTTTTCTTTGTTTCCACCCAGTTACCAGCTCATGTACCTGTCAATAAGATCTGTTTAGACCGGTGGACATGCTAGGATGTTTCTGTAGTGGAATTCTTTACAGAATTACCTTCCTCTGTATCTCTGCAGTTATATAAGGTCTTTAGCCTTCTCAAGAGTGCTGGTGCCTCAGCAAACTGCAAGTCCCATGAATCGATAAAATTTTACATTGGCAGTTAAAGTGATGTCGAACTGCATTAATTCTACAATGTAAATGGACTCTAAGATATGGAACAATCAATTCAAACCATAAAAAAAGATTCCATCTAAACATTAGGAATAACGTTTTGATGGTAAGAGCTGTTTGACAGCGGATTACGCCACCCTGAGTATGGTGGTCTCCTTTGGTGGTATGTGAACAAATACTGGATGGCCTCTTCCAGGATTGCTTTGATTGTGTACCCGAATGGCAGAGTGATGGATTGGATGGCACTTGTGGTCTCTTCCAACTCTGTGATTATACATTGTTTTATAGAACTCTTATGTTATATTGAACTGTCCTGAACTTGTAAACACCATTGTGAAAATTTTGCCCACAAAAGCCATATAGTAATAAGTGTGGTAAATGTTACCAGTACTACTACTGCACAGACGTAGATCCATGTGGAAATAGGCTGGACTGGAAAATTAATCAGTCCAAATAGCAAAGGTTACTTAATTTACTCCACAGTAGACCTGCTGATTCTATCATCTATTCACTGGCATTAATTAAGAAGTTGAAAAGAGTGTGCAGCCTTAGCAGCCTTGACATTATTGACTATGGAGTACAAATTTGTTGTGTTGACATAAGCCCTGTTCATTTCAGCAGCTTTCACTGACACTGTATTTGAGAGATCTGGTCAGAGTGACATGACAATAATCCCACCATATGTCTCCAATTTTTTAAAGTGGATTTGGGCAGGTATAGGAGCAAGCATCTTTGCTAAGGCTCTTTTTATACATTTGTTCTTGTTGACCTTTGCCAAGTAAATTCACAGAATTGGTCATTTTTTTCTTGTTTACAAGTCTGTTGATCACAACCAGAATGTTGCCAATGTTTAAAAGCTTGGAAGAAAAGCCAGGCACCTGCTTGGGAACCAAGCCCAATTTATGTCGAAGAAGCAGGCATTGAAGGAAGGAATTAAGTAATGAGTTCCACTAAAATTCGAATTTTAAAACTAGGATCATTATCACATAAGGCTATAAATACAAACCTGGTATTGCTAACCCATCACGGGTTAGTTGGAGCACATCGTGATAGCCAGGAAGAAAGGCAGGTAACAAAACTATTATTATTATCACACCAATCAGTTCCCCAAGCAAAAGCACTTAGCTGACCGCATCCGTTGGGACTTGTCTCCTCCCAATCCATGCATTCATTCACTGTTCATTCATGATCTCTCCCTTTTCAACTAGAGGAATTGTGCAACTGCGTGAGTTCAAAATCTTCCGAGAACGAAACTACACAATTAAATACTTCCACAAGGTCACGAGCACTGTCTCTTTAAGCACTTGAAATATTAATAAAAAGGGAGGTACGTATTTTACACTCACTATTCTTTATGTGATAGCTATTTCTCATTGATAAGCATGCACAAGCTGCTGCTTTACTGAACCTCCCTGTGTTGCAAAACGGAGGACTCAACAACAAAAGAAATATGCATTTGACAATTAGAAGCCTTTCCCTAGTTTGTAAATTATACAAGGGAGAAGGCTGTTTCTCATTGCCAAACCAACTCAAGCTGCAGTTTCCAATTTATTTTTTGCAAAAGAACAAAGGGAAGTTAGCAAACAGTATGAAATTGGGTTGCTATGAGTCATGTTCCAGAAGCATTCTCTCCTTACATTTTGCCCTCATCTATGCAGGCATCCTCAGAGGTTGTGAGATCTGTTGGGAACTAGGAAAATGGGGTTTATACTGTATATCTGTGGAATGTCCAGGGTGGGAGAAAGAATTCTTGTCTGAGGCAAATGTGAATTTTTCAATTGGCCACCTTGATTAGGATTTAATGGCTTTGCAGCTTCAAAGTCTGGCTGGTTGCTGCCTGGGGGATCCTTTGTTTAGAGGTGTTAGCTGATCCTGATTGATTCTTTGTCAATCAGACAAGAATTTTTCTCAATAGACAAGAATTTTTCTCTAGTTTCCAACAGACCTCACAACCTTTGAGGATGCCTGCCATAATTGTGGGTGAAACGTCAGGAAAGAATGTTTCTGAAACAAGGCCATACATCCCTGAAAGCATACAACAACCCAGTGATTCCGGCCATGAAAGCCGTCAACAATAGTATGAATATGCCTAATCAAGAGGGTAAATTCCTGTAAGTGTTTGGAAGGAGCTTTAGAAGTGTGCAATTTCATTTTTTTAAAGGGAAATTATGGCTTTGTAATCACAGCTTCTCTCTTTCGGATGGCCAAAGTGAAAATGACAACATTATGGCCATGGGGAAATGAAGGAGATCAAAGTGATGCCCCCAACACACCCACAACCACACATCAGCCCCCAAACTTTCTACTGAAGTGCTTTTGGATTTAGCAGACATCTGAAAATCAGGTTTTATAAAAATCCAATTAAAACATTCATTCACAACAATTCAATATTACCAAAAAAAAAACACTCCAATAATAATAATAATAATAATAATAATAATAATAATAATAATAATAATAATAGTGTTAAAAAACAAAGTATGGATCATTGATGTTGCAATCCCAGGTGATAGCAGGATTGAAGAGAAATAACTGGAAATGCTGACACGATATGAAGATTTAAAGATCGAACTGCAAAGACTCTAGTACAAGCCAGTCAAGGTGGTCCCAGTGGTGCCTAAAGACCTTGGCCTGCACTTAAACACAATCGGGCTGACAAAATTACCAGCTGCAGAAGGCCACCTTACTGGGATCTGCACGCATTATTCGCCAATACATCACACATTCATAGACACTTAGGAAGTGTCCAACGTGGGATCCAATACAACAGCCAGCAGAGTGATTTTGTCTGCTGTGAACTCATCTTGTTGTGTTTCTAACAACAACAACAACAACATATTCGTAACCCACTCTATCTCCCCAGGGGGACTCATTAAATAATAATAATAATAATAATAATAATAATAATAATAATAATAATAATAATACTGTGTTTTACTGTGTTTTTGTGTCAGTAAAATAATAATAATAATAATAATAATAATAATAATAATAATAATAATAATGTATTTGTAGCCCACCCTATTTCCCCAGGGGGACTCATTCTACAATTGCACATCTTTCTACCACTAGCAGTTAAAGACTGATGGTTTATTTAAATAAAAGCCTTTACCTGACATAAATCGAAACCAAAATTGAACTTTTCTTGGAACAGAGCTCAGTAATCTAGGAGAATATGCCGTTTCCACCAAACTGCTGCATTTGTTAACATTTTGCGTGTGACATCAGTTTCAAACATTCACCTAAAACTGTGTGATACCTGATATGGTTCTAGAAAACAATAAATCATGGAAACTATGAGCTCTGCCAGAAACTTTGCAGAAAATAGATGTTTTATGATGGGACTGGAATTAAATAGCAAAGTTGGAAAGTGAGATCATGCAGATGTTCTGAGAGGAAATTCCAAATAGAGAATTCCTTACATTGGATTTTAAGTCACTCTTTTAAAATAAGATTCCATTTTCGTCCAAACATAAGAGTTTTGAAAATGTATGGACTGAGTAAAAGAGCAGAACTTTAGGAGGAAGAGAAATTATATGGCACGTTGGTTCTCTTGGACTGAGAGAGCAGGGCTTGATGTCCTCCGTAATTCTTTGCTCTTGCCCCCAACTAGCCCAGATGACATTTAAACTGTTATGTACAAATGATGCAACTGCATGTTACAACATTCAGCTTTTTAAAAAACGCAGCCAATTTGGTTTCTTAACTATGTGAATGGACTCCCCAGACTTTTGATGTCTTATATTATAAAAGTGCTTTGTAAAAAATCTAGCTTGTTTTTCTGCTGCAAACAAAATAAACTGTACATTTTATGCTTTACTCATCCATAATAGTTATCTGATTAAAAAGCTTTTATTAAATATGTATAAATATTACATTCATATTCTCTATACAATAGATGGAAAATAGTTTCATAAAAACAGTGTACCATTTGACCATATGAAATATTCATAGAGAGGACCGAAAATCTACATTGTCAGTAATATTGTGGGCACCATTCTTTTGTACTTGTATATCATACAAAAAGTATAAACCCACATTCACAGGTTTAGTCCCATCAACTGTTTTGTGGAATAATCCACTCAACTCAGTGGGATTTAGTTCTGCAGAAATATGCAGTATGAATATGGTGTGCTTCTCCTTAATGTCATGAATATTTGTTGTTTTCATATGCACCACAGCATTGCCTACTTAAAATAAATTATCTAGGCATTTCAGATCCACATGTGACAATCTGATTTCACCCAAAGCCACCCATTGCACACCGAATACTTCAGATTTCAATTTCCTTTTGGATGAGGCTTTCAAATAAGCTGGCTATAGAAGGAAAGGTATGTATGCTCTGCGACATTTGGGGTAGTGTTTAAAGTTGTTCTGGTAGTATTCGTGACACAAAACAGCACTCACTGCCTGGTTAAAGAACACATACATCACTACCAGCCACCAAGTTAAATTTTTACATCCAAATATGATAGCCATTGATATGTATATCAGGAGCTCAGCAAAGTAATGAGGACACGACACCATTTCAAACCAGTCCCCAAATGGAATGTCATGGTTCAGGTTCACAACTTTTCCTAGAAATGGACAAAAAACAAAGCAATACAATAGTTAGTAGGCTTGTGCAATTCAGCCAAAAGAAATGCCACCCACTCTGACCCCCCCAGGGGTTCCGACCCCCAGGTTGAGAAACACTGGGCTAAACTATCTGAAAGATTGCAATATCTCACATAAGGCTGCTCAGGTTTTTAAGGGAGAACTTTCTGCCATGGTAGTTAAAATGGTGTCAAACTGCATTAATTCTACAGTATAGATGCACTCATAATCCCGACACCATGCACAAGTTAGCATTTTAGCTAATCTGTGTTGCTCCAATGCTCCAGAACATATATGCCTACACAGGGTACACTGCAGTAATCATGATACAATGTGACTGAGGCATAGATGACCATTGTGTATACACTAATATAAGAAAAACACTAGGAGGCCCCAAAATGTAAGAAGGTCTTAGAACAGTGGTTCTCAACCTCTGGGTCCCCAGTTGTTTTGGCCTTCAACTCCCAGAAATCCTAACAGCTGGTAAACTGGCTGGGATTTCTGGGTGTTGTAGGCCAAAACACTTGGGGACCTGCAGGTTGAGAACCACTGTCTTAGAACCTTGCTATACTTGTGTTAGTCAAAAAGTGGGATAGAAATCTAATGAACCTACAGTACTGGTGCAGTTTTCAGCTCCTTGACTTCCAATTCTTGAACTACCATATTCTGTTGATCCATAAGGTCCACTTTCCATAGGGGCATACTGTACCACTGAGAGCTTATTATGTCACATAATATTTTTCATCTATACTTATCTAAGAGCTCAAGTGGGGAAGTGTGCCTACAGAAGATGATATTTGGGGTCAAAAAAACAGTGGGTGGAAAAGAGGGTTAAGCACCCTTCAATCACACACTCTATTTGGCTCTTTGACTTGACCCTCCCTCCTTGTTTAGGATAGATCTACATTTGAAGAGACAGCACTCTGCCATTGTTACATCATATGTACACTTGAGGTTTAAATATCTCCAGGCCTTTCAGGAGGATAGTTGATATGGTTATTGCTGTAATATTTTTTACACGAGAGGATAAAAATGTACATGACAAAGCAGCAAAATATCTTACCTGATTTATTTTTTCTAAGGTTAGCTAGGATTACATGGCATCTGTGTTGGTGAATAGAGGCCCAAATAAACACCAACAATCCAAGGGCGTGATGCCAATAGACTGCTAGTTGAGAATTTTTGCCTGTATTAGAAAGAAAGAGAGTTTATTTATTTTTTATACCCCCATCATGCTCAATCAGAGCACTAGGACTGTGGCGCAGCTGGCTGGGAGTCAGCTGCATTAAGATCACTACTGAGTTCAAAGCCAGCCCGGGTCGGAGTGAGCGTCCGACCAATTTGTGTAGCTTGCTGTCAACCTTTGCAGCCCGAAAGACAGTAGGAAATGTAGGTACTGCTTATGCGGGGAGGCAAATTTAACTAATTTACGAGGCCATAAAAATCTCCAGCAAGCATGCAAAGAATGAGGAAGTACTTCATCAGTGTCACAAAAGGTTGGTGAAGGGATAGCTCCCCTGGCCTGGGGGCGAAAATACCCTCAAGACAAAAGCTGGAATGCTAAATTGCCTCTGTGTCTGTCTATATATGTTGTGTGTGTCTATGGCATTGAATGTTTGCCATGTATATGTACACTGTAATCCGCCCTAAGTTCCCCGTGGAGTGAGAAGGGTGGAATATAAATACTGTAAATAAATAATATACTACTCATCATCACATTCAGATTCAATAGTTAAGATAAAGAATATACAGGCAGTCCCGGATTACAAACATCTGACTTACAAAGGATTCCTAGTTAAAAATGGGGCTGAGATAACAGGAAGTGAGATAAATCTACCCATTGGAAGGTAAATTCACTCTTGAAAGAGTGATCATGGGAAAAAGGTGTCTCAACTGAAGCTTTGTTACCAATCTTTGGTTCCACAACAAGCCACATGTTTCAAAATCCAATTATTGTAGGGACAGAAAGTGAGGTGAAATTTTCTAAATGGGCACAGGCAGCAAAACCAACACCACAGGGCTGTTAACCCTTCCCTGTGCTATCCAAAGCTAATATATATTTGTTAGGGGCTGGAATTACACTTTTAAAAAGTCCCTTTTCCAACTTACAAACAAATTCAACTTCAGAACAAACCTACAGAACCTATCTTGTTCATAACTTGCAAAGTGCCTGTACATATTATAATAGCCTAATTATATTTGGAAGAGGCTCTTACGACTGGTTCAAGAAGGAAGTATTAAATGCTGGATTATGGCTACCAGATTCCTCCATGCTGCCTAAGAAAATATTGGAGTTGCAGCACAATGGAAGGGAAGGTGAACAATTAGACATGTGCGTATGAATGAAAAGCGTTGCCAGACCAACACTGTATTACAAGAGTATGAAAGACAGCACCTACCTTGCCTGACGTTGGCTGGGACTTGGCATAAAACCGTCAAGCCCAACAGGACATAGTAACAGAGTCCAAAGCAGTACTGTACAATATGAATGACACCTCCGGAGAATACGCTGATGTGAAGACACTCAAATAATCGCCGACAGCTGCTTAACCAGACAAAAAGGCACACCAGGAGAGCGGACAGGGACTCTCCTCCTAGAAATCCAACAAAGGTCTTGTAAACAACTCATCTCTTCACTAGACTTCACTTAAAAGCTGGTAAGCAGTAGAATTGGAAGATGGAAGTCATATATCCAACAGACCCATTGCACTGAGCAACAAATGAATATGCAGAATTCTATGTAGTCTGAAATATCAGTGGAACAGATTAGACATATTACAAGTTGTTCCCATTTCCTGCACATTTATTCTATAACATCTTGTTGCCTCAGTTATGCATTTTCTAATGCTATTTATTAGAAATACTCATTGTCATCTTTATGATTTTATGAATGGTCCCTTTAGGAAATGGGATGCCTGTGTAATAGGACCTTTTACAAAATCATACAGCTGATGGTCTACACTCCCACCAGCCTCAGATCTATATGGTTTGGAACTGGCAATGACACTGCTCTCTGGATGTGGCTTGACTACAACACCTATCCTCATTTATCCATATTTTAAGTTGGATCATGAAGGGTATGTGTACCAAGTTTGGTCCAGATCCATCATACGTGGGAATCACCGATGTGATTGAACTACAACTCCTATAATCCTCTATCAGCCCTCTTTATCCCACCAGTACTTTAAGCTGAATCATGGAGAGTATGTGTGCCAGGTTTGGTCCAGGTCCATCATGCCATGTAAGAGCCGTTGTGGACTAAACCTACATACATATAAACAAATTTACATATACACACTTTGACGTTTAAATATATAGAGAGGAAAGATCATTTCATTATAATGGTTATATTTCTCTAAAATAGATAATTTATTCTCATCTACAGGATTTCTTCCTTCTGAGATATGACTATTATGATTTTTGTGTGAGTCAGAAGTAACTTGAGAAACTTCAAGTTGCTTCTGGTATGAGAGAATTGGCCGTCTGTAAGGATGTTGCCCAGGGGATACCCAGATGTTTTATCATCCTGTGGGAGGCTTTTCTCATGTCCTTGCATGGGAAGCTGAAGCTGACAGACGGGAGCTCACCCTGCTCCCTGGATTTGAACCATCGACTTTTAGGTCAGCAGTCCTGCTGGCACAAAGGTCTAATTCATTGTGCCACTGAAGGCTCCTACTGTTATGATTTTTTTTGTTCCTGGATTATAAACGTTATTTTCTAATTGGTTCTAACATAAAACATGGGGAATGTTTATTAAACTGGAAAAACTTTGTTTTAGTGGGACATCCTGCAGCACATTTTGCTATAGTTTTTCTAGGAATATCTCATAAGAGTCTCATAGTTTGTGACAGGCACGACAACTATTGGCCTTTCCACACAGTCATATAACCCACAATATCTGCTTTGAACTGGGCTATCTGAGTCTACACTGCCATATAACCCAGTTCAAGGCAGATAATGTGGGATTTTATACAGCGGTGCAGAAGGGACCTTGGACAGCACAGTCCAAGATAGGAATTTCTGGGAGTTCCAGGTCAATAATGTATGGATTGCTACACAATGCCCACGCCTGGTGTAACACAGACATCTTCTGTTCTCGAGAGAAAAAATACACTATAACCAAAAGTTCCTACCATTCACAGAAGTGAGCGTGCCTCCATCTGGGTTCTGCAATGCTCCATCCAGAATGCTTAACAGGTTCTGGAGCCAGATGGGGAAAGGCCAGGACACCAGCAAGCTTTGGAGAAGCACCAGGAGCAGGAAACCGTTCCAAATGACGGATACAATATAGAAGTGATAGAACCACCTGCAAAAGAAAGCATCATTGATTTACTGTATTAACTTACAAAGAACCACCTAGGCCCCTTCCTCACTGTCATGTAATCCAGATTATCAAAGCAGATAATCCACATGATCTGCTTTGAACTGGATTATTTCAGTCCACACTGCCATATAATCCAGTTCAAAGCAGATAATCTGGATTTTATATGGCAGTGTAGAGGGAGCCCTAGGGCCCTTCCACACAGCCCTATATCCCAGGCTATCAAGGCAGAAAAACCCACAATATCTGCTTTGAACTTAATCCAGACAAGACAGAGGTCCTCCTGGTCAGTCGTGGGGCTGACCGGGGTATTGGGTGGCAAACTGTGCTTGACGGGGTTACACTCCCCCTGACGGCGCAGGTCCGCAGCTTGGGGGTCCTCCTGGACTCAATGCTGTCGCTTGAAGCACAGGTGTCGACGGTGGCCAGGAGGGCCTTTGCACAGCTTAGACTTGTGCGCCAGCTGTGACCATACCTCGTGAAGTCTGTCTTGACTAGGGTGGTCCATGCCTTGGGTACAGCCAGACTGGACTACTGCAATTCGCTCTATGTGGGGCTGTCCCTGAAGACGGCCTGGAAATTTCAACTGGTACAACGGGTGGCAGCCAGGCTCCTTACAGGATCAAATTATAGGGAGCTCACAATGCCCCTATTAAAACAACTGCACTGGCTGCCGATAAGTTGCCAAGCCAAATTCAAGGTGCAGGTTATGACCTATAAAGCCCTAAATCAGGGGTCCTCAAACTAAGGCCTGGGGGCCGGATGTGGCCCTCCAAGGTCATTTACCCGGCCCTCGCTCAGGGTCAACCTAAGTCTGAAACAATTTGAAAGCACACAACAACAACAATCTCATCAGCCAAAATCAGGTCCACACTTCCCATTGAAATACTAATAAGTTTATATTTGTTAAAATTGTTCTTCATTTTAATTATTGTATTGTTTTAAAGTGTGGTTTTTTTTTTTGCACTACAAATCAGATATGTGCAGTGTGCATAGCAATTCATTCATGGTTTTTTCAAATTATAATCCTGCCCTCCAACAGTTTGAGGGACTGTGACTTGGCCCTCTGTTTAAAAGTTTTGTGGATCCTTGCCCGAAATGGTTTGGGCCCGCCTATCTTTGCGATCACACCTTTATGAACCAGTGCGAACCCTAAGATCTTCCAGGGAGGCCCTTCTTTTGCTTCCACCACCATCACAAGTACGGCTGGTGGGGATGATAGAGAGAGGGGGCCTTCTCTATCATGGCCCCCCACCTCTGGAATGCCATTCCAAGGGAAATAAGACAGACCCCATCCCTCCCCTCCTTTTGTAAGAGCTTGAAGACCTTACGAAAGACCTTTCACCAAACCTTTGAGAATGACCAGTATTAGTCTAGCCCTGGACATTATAAAAATCCAGCCTTGTATTTTCTACCTATTATCCCGGACAGGCCTCTAATAGACCCTAGAAATGAGCAGCCACAGGCCAAAAATTACTATTGCTGGTTTTGGCACTTTAACCATTCCCGGTCCCCTATATCCTGGTTTGCACTACCCATCCCATTTCCTGGCCTTTCATATCCTGGTCTGCACTAGGCCGGACCAGCAATTCTTAATTGTCTAGGCCCATTTTTGAAATCTCGGCCCTAACGATTTGCACAAAGAATAGGGAGGATTACTTTTAATATATACTAGCCAACCCCTGCCATGCGTTGCTGTGGCCCAGTCTGTGTATATGTGTTTTGTGTGTGTATAAATGTGTATATGTGTGTGTATATATGTGTAGTTGCTTATATATATATGTGGTTTATCACATGCATTGTAATGTATTTTTTGGCTTTTAAAGTCTATTCCTCTGTGTTTTCCAGTGTTTTTATGATTGATGGTCACTCATTGGCCTGATAGGTTTATTGTGTCCAAATTTGGTGTCAATTCATCCAGTGGTTTTTGAGTTATGTTAATCCCACAAACGAACATTACATTTTTATTTATATAGATGTGTCGTTTTTATTATTTTATGCCTATGTTGTTTTGATTATTTTATTTTTTATGTTGTTTATCTTTATGTTTTGGTGTTGTTACTGTAAACCGCATTGAGTCCTCTCAGGGAGATAGAGTGGTATATAAATAAAGATTATTATTATTATTATTATTATTATTATTTTGTCGTGTCAGGAGCGACTTGAGAAACTGCAAGTTGCTTCTGGTTTGAGAGAATTGGCCTTCTGCAAGGATGTTGTCCAGGGGACACCCAGATGTTTTATCATCCTTGTGGGAGGCTTCTCTCATGTCCCCGCATGAGAAGCTGGAGCTGATAGGGAGCTCATCCACACTCTCCTCGGATTCGAACCTGCGACCTGCTGGTCTTCAGTCCTGCTGGCACAGGGGTTTAACCCACTGCGTCACTGGGGGCTCCTATTATTAGGTTCTTGTAGGTTTTTTCGGGCTATAGGGCCATGTTCTAGAGGCATTTCTCCTGACGTTTCGCCTGCATCTATGGCAAGCATCCTCAGGGTTGAGACCCCACAACCTCTGAGGATGCTTGCCATAGATGCAGGCGAAACGTCAGGAGAAATGCCTCTAGAACATGGCCCTATAGCCCGAAAAAACCTACAAGAACCTAGTGATTCCAGCCATGAAAGCCTTCGACAGCTCCTATTATTATTATTAATATTATTATTATTATCTGAGTGTGGACTTAGAGATATTATTATTATTATCTGAGTCCACACTCAGATAATGTGGGATTTTCTGCCTTGATATTCTGGGATATAGAACTGTGTGGAAGGGCCCTTAGTTTCCCCATATCCTCATAATCTAAGGCCCCTTCCATACATCTAAATACAATCTCACATTACCTGCTTTGAACTAGGATATATGGCAGTGTGGACTCTGATAACCCACTTCAAAGCAGATACTGTGGGATTTTCCGCCTTGATGCTCTGGGTTATAGGGCTGTGTTTTCCATGTGTCAACCACACATGGAAAAGAGGTGTGATCATTTGATTGTATAAAAGGAAAGCACTCTGCACATGCCTAGAAACAATCACAAATCCATGCAAATCCATGCAAACCAGAGAGGGAGGATCAAGGCAACTCAAAGTGCCTCTACACTGCAGATTTAACGCAGTTTGACACCAGCTTGGCTCAATGCTATGGAATCCTGGGAGTTGTAGTCCTGCAAGGTCTTTAGCCTTCCCCACCAAACTACAACTCCCAGGATTCCATAGCATTGACCCATGGCAGTGGAAATGGTATCAAACTGTGTGGATGCACCCGTTCATTCATTCCTTCACCTCTTGGGGAGATCAAGGTGGCAGAGCTGGGCGGGGCGCTGCCCGCAGCCGCATTTGGTCTTCCCGTAACGGAGCAGGTCCTGGAAAAGCAGCGCCGCCGGGCTGAGTGAGGCGGAACCGGGGCCGGAAGGAGAAAGAGGAAGCTTCAGAGGCGGGAGACGCAAAGCCAGCAGCGCGGCCAAAAAGCAGCCCGCCAGGCCCAGCCAGAGCAGCGCCATCATGAGGAGAGGGGCGGACCCCACCACCTGCCCCTTTCCCGCTCTCGGGGAGACTGGCGCTGAAGTAAGGGAAATGTGCCAGAGTGCGCGCGCCTTGTCAGCCAGCCAATGGGGACGGGGAATAGCGGCCATGGGCGGGCCCTCGACTCAGAATGGCCCAATCGTCTTACACGCTTCTTGTATAACTCTAGATGCATTTTGATTATGCGTTCCCTTTTCCTATTGGGTGTTCTGTTTGTCACTCTGAAAGCAAGTAGGATCATAGAGGTATATCAAAGTGAGACAAGACCCCCTTCCACGGCAGGTAAAGGTATAGCTAGATCTATCTATCTATCTATCTATCTATCTATCTATCTATCTATCTATCTATCTATCTATCTATCTATCTATCTATCTATCTATCTATCTATCTATCTATCTATCATGTGTATGTGTGTATATCTTTCTATCTATATATATATAAATGCCCTGTGCATAATGAGTATCTTAAAAACAAAAGAACCAATGAACAAAATCACACCAAATTGGGCAACAAAACGTCTCACAACACAAGGAGTGACCATCACTCAAAAAAAAAATATATGATGTTGTCATTTGGGAGTTGTAGTTGCTGGGATGTATAGTTCACCTACAATCAAAGGGCATTCTGAACTCCATCAATGATGGAACTGAACCAAACTTGGCACACAGGACTCCCTTGACCAACAAAAAATCCTGGAAGGGTTTGGTGGGCATTGACCTTGTGTTTGGGAGTTGTAGTTCACCCTACATCTAGAGAACACTGTGGACTCAAACGCTGATAGATCTGGACCAAACTTGGCACGAATACTCAAAATGCCCAAATGTGAACACTGGTGGAGTTTGGGGAAAATAGACCCTGACATTTGAGATAGTTGCTGGGATTTATAGTTCACCTATAATCAAAGAGCATTCAGAACTCCACCAATGATGGAATTGAACCAAACTTGGCACACAGAACTCCCATGACCAACAGAAAATATTGGAAGGATTTGGTGGGCATTGACCTTGAGTTTTGGAGTTGTAGTTCACCTACATCCAGAGAGAACTATAGACTCAACCAATGATGGCTCTGGACCAAACTTGGCAACTACAACTTTGGGAGTTGTAGTTGCTGGGATTTATAGTTCACCTACAATCAAATAGCATTCTTACCCCACCAACAAGAGTATTGGGCCAACTTCCCACACAGAACCCCCGTGACCAACATAATATGCTATGTTTTCTGATGGTCTTTGGCGACCCCTCTGGCATTCCCTCATGACCCCCCCAGGAGTCTCGATCCCCAGGTTGAGAAACACTGTCATAGAGGTATATCAAAGTGAGACAAGACCCCTTTCCACGGCAGGTAAACGTATAGCTAGATCATAACATTTATTTATTTACCATGTGTGTGTGTGTGTATGTGTATGTGTGTGCGTGTGTGTGTATGTATGTATGTGTGTGTGTGTGTGTGTATACATATATATATATATATAGTTTCCATGGTTCCATAGCACTGAGCCATAATTGTTAAAGTGGTGCAAAACTGCATTCATTCTACCTTGCAGATGCACCTTTGATCTGGTTGTTTCATTTCTGATATGCATAATGTTAGTTTTGAATAAAACATGATGTGAAATATATTGAACTATACTTTTTATAACTCAATCCTTGTCCTTTCTATGTTATCTATGTCACCGATACCAGCGTGTCTGTTAGGCCCCTTCTATACTGCCATATATTTATTTACAGTATTATTTATCACAAGTACGGTTGGCGGGAACGAGAGACAGGGCCTTCTCACTGGTGGCCCCTTGGCTATGGAATGCCCTTCCTAGGGAGATTAGATCAGCTTCCTCGCTCCTATCATTCCGGAAGAATCTTAAGACATGGCTATTTGAGCGGGCATTTGAAAATACGGAGTAACGGATATAATAACGGAATAACTATATGACGGAAATGGACATTGTTTTAATGATTATCGATTTAAGTATGTTTCATTATAATGTTTGATTTTATTGTTGCTGATGTTTTTATATTGTATATTGTAACTAGCTGTGCCCTGCCACGCGTTGCTGTGGCCTATAGTAAAACTTATCAAAGTTGTGGTAGATATCTGGACTATTATGAAAGAGAGGTACCTACCTATTCCTTCCCCCTTTTCCTCCCCCTTTCTCTCCTTTCTTCCTTCTCTACCTCTTTCTTTCTTTCCTTCTTTCACTACTTGGTTTCATCCTTCTCTCTTTCCTTCATTCCCTCCCTTTCTTCCTTTGCCTTTCTTCCCTCCCTGTTTGCTTCCTTCTTTCACTTTTTATTTCCTTTTATTTCACCACCATCATAACAATAACAATAATGCAATGCATGGCCTCTGGGACCTGACACCTCTCCCATTCCCCCAGGGTCTAATAGGAATAATAGCATAATAATAATAGAAATAACAACCTTTACTCGCCACGTGTTGCTGTGGCCAATACCGCAAAACACCTTAGCAGCAATATATATTTTCACTTTAAATTGAAATATTTATATAATATATTTAAATAATTAAATTTAATTAAAATAATAAAAATATTAATATTACAATACATTAAATATATATATCATTTAAGTATTAATAAATAATATTTTATTTATATTCTGATGGTATCTTTTCTTCCTTCTCTCTTTCTTCTTTCTTCCCTCCCTCTTTCTCTACATCTTCCCCCTTCCTTCACTCCCTCTTTCCTTCCTTCATTCCCTTTTTTCTTTCCTTCTCTCCTTCCTTCCCCTTTTTCTTTCTCTTCTGGTCTCTTTTCTTCCTTCTCTCTTTCCTTCTTTCCTTCCCTCCCTCTTTCTCTACATCTTCCCCCTTCCTTCACTCCCTCTTTCCTTCCTTCATTCCCTTTTTCTTCTCTCCTTCCTTCCTTCCCCCTTTTTCTTTCTCTTCTGGTCTCTTTTCTTCCTTCTCTCTTTCCTTCTTTCCTTCCCTCCCTCTTTCTCTACATCTTCCCCCTTCCTTCACTCCCTCTTTCCTTCCTTCATTCCCTTTTTTCTTTCCTTCTCTCCTTCCTTCCTTCCCCCCTTTTCTTTTTCTTTCCCTCCCTCTGTCTCTCATTTCTTCCTTCTCTCTCTTTCTTCCTCTCCTTTCTTCTTTCTTCTCTCCCTCTTTCTTTCCTTCCTTTCCTTTTCTTCCTTTTCTTCTTCCTTCTCTTCTCTCTTTCTTCCTTCCCCCTTTTCTTCCTTTCTCTTTTCTTCCTTCCTTTCCTCCTTTCCTCCCTCCTCTTTCTCACATTGGACGGGGCGGGAGGGGGCGGGGTGGGGTTTGGAGGTGGCGTGAAGTAAAAGGAGGTAAGATTGGGGCAGGGGAATGATGGAGCATGGGGTTGTGTGTGTGTGTGCGGCGGCGGGAGTGATGGAGTGTACCTGATCGAGAGCCGTATTGGGAGTGCAAAATTTTCTTTACATTAGACGAGAGTGATGGATGAGATGGAAAATAATTTCAGATGTGTGTGTGCGGCGGTGGGAGTGATGGAGCGTGGGCGTTGCGTGTGTTTTGGTGCGCCGAACAACTGAGGTGGAGGAGCGGGGGAGAGATGGAGTGTTGGGGTATGCGGCATTAGTCCGTGGTGACAAGGCATCGGAGGGGTGGTGGGAAGTGATGGATGAGTGGGGTTGCGTGTTGTCGACGATGTTTATCATAGCATTTGTACCGGGCTGGGTGTGGGGCAGCGGGGGAGGATGGAGCGTGGGGGCGTGTGTGTGCGGCGCGGGGGGGAGTGATGGAGCGTGGGGTTGTGTGTGCGTGCGGCGGGGGGGAGAGTGATGGAGCGTGGGGTTGCGTGTGTGTGTGCGGGGGGGGGAGTGATGGAGCGTGGGGTTGCGTGTGTGTGTGCGGCGGCGGGGGGAGTGATGGAGCGTGGGGTTGTGTGTGTGCGTGCAGCAGGGGGTGTGTGTGTGCGGGAAGCGGCGCGGCGGGCTTGGAGTGGGCATGGCTTCCGCAGAGGGAACGTTGGCCGGAAGGCTGTGTGCGCGCCCAGGGAACTTGCGGCTGGGCGCCAATGCGCATGCTCAGTTGTTTTGCCGTTTTGTGAGTGTGTTGTTGTGTTGTTTTTCATTTTGTGTAGATATGTTTGTACCTTGTGGGTTGTGTTATGGGCATGGGAATTTTGGTTAAGTTTCGTTGGTTTTTTTTTAGTTTTGTTGTTTGCCGTTTTGTGAGTGTGTTGTTGTGTTGTTTTTCATTTTGAGTAGATATGTTTGTACCTTGTGGGTTGTGTTATGGGCATGGGAATTTTGGTTAAGTTTCGTTGGGGGGTTTTTGAGTTTTGTTGTTTGCCGTTTTGTGAGTGTGTTGTTGTGTTGTTTTTCATTTTGAGTAGATATGTTTGTACCTTGTGGGTTGTGTTATGGGCATGGGAATTTTGGTTAAGTTTCGTTGGGGTTTTTTGAGTTTTGTTGTTTTGCCGTTTTGTGAGTGTGTTGTTGTGTTGTTTTTCATTTTGAGTAGATATGTTTGTACCTTGTGGGTTGTGTTATGGGCATGGCGATTTTGGTTAAGTTTCGTTGGGGGGTTGTGGAGTTTTGCTGTCCCGTTGAACCAACCTAACAGATTTATATATATAGATTGTGTCCTTGGTGGCATTGAATTCTTGCTTTATAAACCGCCTCGAGTTGCCGGAAGGCTGAGAGGGGCGGTACAGAAATGTACTAATAATAGTAATAATAATAATAATAATAATAATAATAATTATTATTATTATTATATTCTGCCCTTCTCACCCCGCAGGGGACTCAGGGCGGATTACAATTTACATATACATGGCAAATATTCAATGCCATCGTCACACAACATATATAGACAGACACACAGAGGCTATTTAACATTCCAGCTTTTTCATGAGAGTATTCTGGCCACCAGGGGAGCTGTCGCTTCACCGTCCATTTGTGACACTGTTGAAGTACTTCCTCATTCTTTGCATGCTTGCTGGAGATTTTTATGGCATCGTAAATTAGCACCCGCATAAGCGGTACCTAAATTTCCTACTTGACAGATGCAACTGTCTTTCGGACTGCAAAGGTCGACAGCAAGCTGC